AGTGTGTGGAGCTGCTCGCGCTCCGCCCGGGCTGTCAGTCCCGGCTCCAGCCTCCGCGAGACCTTCCCGGAGACGCGCGCACACACGGCGCACCCCCCGCGCACCGCACACCCTCGTTCCCTTGCTCACACACACGCACACACTCAGCCTGGCCGAGCAGGAGCCACTGACCATTTTGCAAGTGCCGGGACGAGCTGCGGCGCGGTGGGCACCAGCGCTCCGCCCGGCTGTTGGGGCTCTCGTCTGGGAGAGGACGAGGAGTGGCGGCCGTGGGCTCGGACGCCGACCGGGAGCCGGGCACGGGTCGGGTCGCCTTCCTGGCAGAGCCGCTCCCTGGGACGGGCGCGGGCCTCGGCGGAGAGTAGAATAAAGAGGAGCGGCCGCGGCCGCTGCGGGAGGAGGATGGGAACTCCCCTATGTCCAGCCCTGTAACCAACGGATGGAAATCCCGACAGGAGGAACCGCTGACTTCATTTGCTGGGGAAAATCGTCCGGAGGAACTCAGATTTGGCTACTCTGAGCGGTGGAGGGGGTGTCCATGACGTGCAGGGGGAAAATAGGCAACCGAAACCTCCCGTGTGAACTGCAAACTGTGGCCAAGCGAGGGGAAGAAGATCTCTCTCTGTATTTTAATCTCATGCTAAGGGGTTCAAGCATCTGCATCATAAACTTACTTCTACATCTCCTACCCACTTCAGCGGAAAGCAAAACGGTCCTGTCTGGGGCCCCATCGTTACCCAGGATACCCGCAGCCAGCGGCCTGCCTTCGCGTACCCACGTTTCCCTGGACCGGATCTCTGTTTGGGGCACTACATCTGTCTTACAGGACTAAGCACATCTCCATGAATACTCTGAATTTCTGGGACTTAACTACTAGAATCTACATGAGGGGCCAGAATTCAGCCCAATGCCTCTGAAGAAATGACATTTTAAAACACCTTGGTTTTCTTAAGATTCCTGTAAAACAGGATTTGATAGGCTTACAAACATGTCAGGTAAGAACTTTCTCTCTCTGTAGTCCCTCCACGCCTGTCGCAGAGGAGGCCGAAGAGGAGCAGGACCCCAGGGGAGGAGAGCCGGGGGACTCGTGTGCCCTCTGGGGATCGCAGGCGCCCAGCCGGGCCGCGGCTTTCGGGAGAGGCGCAGCCCTCGCTCCTGGCCCGCGGGCCTGGGCTGGGGACGCTCGTGGGGCGCGCGCGGGGCGGCGGCGCTGCGCTCCACCTGCCCTGCCCGGGACGCAGCCCGGGGCCGACACTCCAGGGACCACCCCGAGTCAATATTGGGATTTTTAATAAACCAAGGAATGGGATTTTAATTATTCAAACCCTTGCTCCTCCGGGCCAGATGCTGTTGGGATGGTCCTGGTCACACAATATTAAAGAGACCGATCCCTAGGAGGACGAGAACAGCGGCTGAGACATCCGTTGCAATTACGAATGAACCAGACTTGGTAGTACAGGGCATTGATTGCTGGTGCCCAACCGGACCCTCCTCCCCTCGCCCCGTTCCTCCCCCACCCACCCCACCCCACCCGACCCGAGGCAGGCTCCCGCGGCGGCCGGGACCTCGCGTCCCCACATCGTGGCCCGGGCTGCATTTTTCATGAGCCCAGGGTGAACAGGTGCGAAGTGCGCTGGGAGCATCCGGCGGGCGGCCGGGCGCAGGAACATGGAGAGCGAGCGCGACATGTACCGCCAGTTCCAGGACTGGTGCCTCAGGACTTACGGGGACTCAGGCAAGACCAAGACGGTGACCCGTAAAAAATACGAGCGGATCGTCCAGCTCCTCAACGGATCCGAGTCGAGCTCCACCGACAACGCCAAATTTAAATTCTGGGTCAAATCGAAGGGCTTCCAGCTGGGCCAGCCGGACGAGGTCCGCGGGGGAGGCGGCGGCGCCAAGCAAGTGCTCTACGTGCCCGTCAAGACCACGGTGAGTGACTCGCCTTCCTCTGTTATTTGTCTGCCTGAGCAGCCTGGCGGGGAGGGCGGAGAGAGGGGGGAGCGAGGGGGAGCCGTGAGCCACCGTTGGCTCGTGTGCCCCCACCCTCCTCAACCCCCTCCCCAAGTCGTCCCCACTCGCCTCAGCCAGACGCGATTTCCCCACCAGCAGTCTTTGTGGTCCTTTATTTTAAAGCGGCAGCACACCTCCGGAGCCGGACCGGACCGCTGCCGCCGCTTCCTTCCCGGGTCGGGCGGCGTCCTCGGGCTGGGCCATTGTCCCATGTCCCTCGCTGGGCGCCTGGCGCGTGTCCCAACGCTGCCACCGCGCATCGCAGGCCAGGCTGCAAGCCCGGCCACCCAGTCTGCTAAAGGACGATCTTGATCGATAGTCTACGGTGTGTGCTCATTGGCACAAAGCCTTCATGTGGCGATAGTGGTGCCTATGGGGTTTCCCCCCAGGACACTTATCAGGTTTTATTGTTAGACCGCCGCCGGGGAGACGCGGGGCGGCCAGACTGCCCGGATCACTCCCCGAGATGTCGCCAGGACTGTTTAGATGGTAGATAAGGTCCTGTAGATTCATCTTCCCCGCCTCCCCCACCCCCCATTCCCTTCCGCACTGGCCCGTTGCTCAAATAAAGCAGCAACTAGATGATGAACAACAAAGGGAGATGGGTTTGGGCGCGATCGGATGCTGTGTGTACTTGTTCTTCTTTCCGGGGTGGCTCTAGGCTCTTGGCCACGAAGCTGGTCCTGGCGATGAGAGCCCAGGGCACCTCAGCCTCACACGCAGATGCCCGTGGGGCCGGGGAGCTGCAGCCTTTACCAAGGTGGTAAAGAAGATGGTATCTGAGGGCTACAAGTAGGACCGCAGATCAGATGCAAGAGACCTTTCAGCCTCTTGCCGCGGTGGGTACTCCTCCGGAGTAAGGCTTGGGAGGCGATCTGGCACCCTTTGTATCTCTGCCTCTCTGAGATTTCTGGAGCTTTGGCTCCTGCCTCCCCTCCCTTACTGGCACGGTTTCCCTGTGCAGTGTTCCTGGAGCATGCTAGGAAGGAGGTGTCTTGAAAGCTGTGCTACCTCTATCTTCACCGGAGGTATAATACATTGGAAATATGTGCACGAAAGGCTTTTCAGAGCAATATTTGGAGGACGGGCTGGGAAAGCAGCTTACGATTTCCCTAAGATCAATTAGGAGTAGTGTTTGAAGGACGTGCGTTCTTCTGGAATTTACACCGAAGATGGGAAAAGGAAATAAAGGTGAAATGGAAACACATGAAAGTTGTTTTATTTTTAATGTACTGTTGTTGGAAGCTATCTAGGAGGTAGGTTTATAAATGTAGTCTTCTCCTTTAACATGTGGAACTGCTAAAGACAATGGTGAGATTATTGTCTTGCTTTGCTAAATGATGAGGACTAGACTGGCATGAATTAGACCTGAGGTTTATTTACAGCTGCTCGAGCCAGAAGTCTGCTGTAGAGAATGAATTGCTTTGATTCATTGGCGCTGAGAGTAACATTAAGAACTTGATAAAATAATTTATTTATAGACAAAGCAACTTAGAATTCTGTTTGGATGAATAATCATTTATAATTAATTTACTTAAGATATATATTAAGAAATATATATGTGTATATGTATATTGAAATGTTGTTAAGTAGAAATTTGGTTTTTATTGTTTTTATGTTAAACTTATGTCCCTTTGTTAAATTGTCAGTTTTACTGGCGTATAGTGACTTTATATTTGTACCGATATGGCTACATAACTTATATGTTAATATATGTGTCCTGCACAAATAATGGTTAAAAATCTAAGTAACACGAATTTTGTAATCGTTTTTGAGGCACTAAGGTAATCACGGATACCAGTCATTCAAGCCATCATTCATATGCTCTAGTATTGATATTTTCAGTCAAAAATTAATGCAGAGTTGTTAAAGGATTGCTTAGACTTGTACTATGGAGTGACAACTCCAGGAGTAATAATACACTAGCACGTGTTTCTCTCTTCAGTAAGGATTCCATATATTTATAGGAGAAGACGTACTCTGTCAGGTGATATTCTTAGATAATGATTTTCATGTAATATTTAAGAGCTCTGCTTTTCATTCAAACCTGTTTTGAAACATTGAAGAGGTTTTTAATTCATGAACTCTTCTTTTGCTCTTTATAAAATTTTTCTAGTGCTCCTGACATAGAATTATAGGCTCCACCTTCTCTGAGAGACAGCCAATCATCATTTCAATGAGTTAAAAAATAAATAAAATATCCTTTTATCATTTCTTTCCATCTCAAATTATTGCTCCCTTAAAACATGTTGATTTTTCTTCACAATAGTGGGAGTGCAATTACCAAGAAGACAAAAAATGTGTTTTCTTTTAAATCAATAGTGTATATTTGTTGAAATGAAGTACTGCATTTGAATGGTGTTTTCAAGTAGTGTAAGAATCATTCTAGGCTCCGTGAGGTTCCAGGGTTCCTTGTAGCTGGTTTTGTTGTCAGTGGGAGATGCTGTGCTCCTGATGTTGCAGTGATCCACTGCTGCTGATAATTAGCCATCATTACTTCTGTGAAAAGGGAAAGAGAAAGGGGAGAGGACAGGCCTGGGCTAATTAACTACTTTAGTTTAATGAAAGAAAGGGAGACAGATAGCAACTGGGAGGTTATACAAGAACAGAGTAGACGTACCCCATAGGCTTATTTGTAATAAGACTATCAGTTTCACAGTTAAAGAAGCTTGGTTCTGCCTCTTATTTTCCCAAAAGAATAGATATGGCTTTGCAGATCCTTTTCTCCCTCAACCTTAAACTTAACTGATGATAAAATTAAACACATGACAACTGACTTAAAATCAGAACCGTTGACCACTGGCAAAGATAAATATGCCCTTTAATATTTATCCTGGCTAGGTCTGAAGCTAAGGGGACCTATCTGTCTCTGATGTTTAGATTGCTGTGTGGCCGAGGAGATACTATTTGGTCACCAGGCAACATTATCCTGCAACTCAGCCATTTTAGGTCTGGAGAGGGACCCACACTTGTAGTTTCTTGAGCATCCCATCTGTTTTTTTCCATACTGTCACTATTATTTTTATTTTTTTTACTAAAAGTGTTAGAAATGTAGAAGAATAAAATGATGAGTAACTGAAAACAGATCTGAAAAGGACAGCAAATGTCCAACTCTGATTACAACAAACTTCCAATCAATGATAATTTTAAATAAGCATAAGGAAGGTTATTCTATTTTATTCCTTTGATAATTGTAGTTGAGTTTGGTTGTAGAAGCCTTTGATATGAAGATTATTTTGGCAATAATTAGTTAAAACATCATACTTAGGATCTAAATTAGCAAGACACATTCTATCACTTAATCCTATGCAAATTAAAAAATAGAAAATTCATTATACATTTTTCTTAATAACATGATTAATGCATTGTCTTACATTTTTAAAATTGCATTGTTTAAAACACTAAGAAGAAGTTTGGTAAGCTTGTGTTACAGTATTTCAGTCTTAAGCAAAGTACTGAATATTGAAATTGTAAAATCAAATAATGTGAGTAACATTTTTTTCTTGACCCATATATGTAGGAATAGACACTAAGGCCTAAATTTTGTTTTTGTGCATTTTTTGTTACATTTTCTCTATTATGAAACAAAAATGAATTTTCATGCAGAAAGGAATATACATTACCTTTAGTTTGGTCATTTTAAAATGATTTATTCAGTTTTGCAGTCTGTAACCTCAGAGTTCATATTGTTCTTGCTATGCATATTACTAATTGATTACTATGCAGTGATTAGAATGAATATTCATGATTGGTTCATAAACAGTTACAGTTTTTGTTAGTTCTCCAACTATGGTTTTGGTTATAAATCCTTTGTGCTCCATCAGAATGAAAGGAAAGATACTTCATGAGGAATCTGTACACATTTCCACCTCTTCTAACTCTATGCCTCAGGCACACATTCTATATACTAGGCCTTGATCTAGTGCTTCTGAAATCAAAGAGGAGGAACTGTTACAGAAATCTATTAGGAGACTTTACCTCTATGTAACAGGGAAAACCGTAATCTTGGTCACTGGAATACAAGCATGTTTTGCCAATCTACACTTTCACCATGGTCATTGCTGCCAATAGCCAAGTATTGTGGGAGACAGTATAGCATGAGATTTTTGGGTCAAACAAGTCCCAAGAAGGAAACCAGCAATGTGGTTTATCAGCTGACTTTAGGGATTGCTTGTGGAGTTGTGAAGAATCAATCATCTATGACACTCCCTTGCACAGTGTCTATGTCTGCTCTCAGAAAACACTGGGTACCTTTACTTTAAAGGGAACTGTGGTGTGAGTATTAAAGGACAGGAGATATAACAATAACTCCACTGAATATAAGGAAGAAGTTATACCTTGTTAGTATACGGAAACTACCCCATACTTATTTCCTAGGAAAAGAGTTGTTCATTTGTCCATTGGTGGTTCCTCCTTGTCTTAGTAGTAACCACAATGGAAGGTGAGGAGAGAGATTCAGCATGTGCCTATTTTCCATCTATAAACTTCTGGGGCCAGCTAGGATTCTGCTCTTCAGGATTTTACTCTCTAGACTTACTCCATGGATTGGAGGTAAATTGAGAAAGCAAATGCAATAATAAGGCAACAGAATTTGCATGAGTTTCAATTCAGTGTCAGGATCATGTTAAGACATTTATCTAGAAGCTCTTATATATTGTCTAGCTAGGAAAGCTCAAGGTGAATCTAGCATGTGTTACATTATATACATTTTCATAATATTTGGATGACAATATAAAATAAATATAAATTAATGGAAATATAATGTCAATTAGTGGAAACAATACATAACAAGAAACATGCTATTGTGAGCAGAGTATAGACTTTATAGCAAGATTTAAATTCTGGCACTGATATTTAACTGGAGCTATGAGCTAGGTAAAGTTTCTTAGCTAAAGATGCTGTTTACCTGTAGTAAAATG